TGCCTGAGTAGTGGGGGGAGCAGTAGAGTGATCAAACCTATTGAAAAATACATTGAGTTCATTCACCCACTTCCAATCCCCACAATCCTGGGAGTCGGGCTTCTTGTGGCCAGAAATAGCTTTAAGGCTGTTCCAGACTCCGCTGACATTATTCTCCTGCAGCTGGACCTCCATTTTCTTTCTGTAGCTCTCCTTGCCATCTCGGATCTTTCTCCTCAGCTCTCTCTGCACAGCTTTCATCTCCTCTTTGTTTCCTGACCTAAATAAATTTATGGTTTGATTTCTTTATATGTAAGGATCACTTGGGTTGTTACCGACATCTGGTGAAAATTTCATGTCATTAACGTCTCTGGTAATATATTTACTGAGAAAAATGTTGACGTGTTCAATACTTATTTTACCTGCTGTATATCATGATAAATAAAACAGGACTAAAATAGTGTACAAAATCTGTTAAAACATTTACAAACAAATGTCTCATGTACAAACTGTTTAAGAATGGCCCTAAAAACGTTAAAAGAGATCTAATGGACTTACAGTTTGGTGGTCKTCATTCTCCTCTGGCTCTGGGTTAGACTCTGGCTGATTGGCTGTTTGGACAAGTTGTTGACGTCTTTTAATTATTAAAAAATAAAACCTTTCTGTGCAGCTTTATAGTCATAAACCCCTCTATCGAACTAGAATGAACCGGTCTGAAAGCTGGATGGGGRCTGGGATGTGAAGCACTTTGTTTGGATTTAAAGAGACCGTCTCAAAACTCCCATTTCTGACGTGTTCCTCACATCAAACTCAGACCAAAGCACTGGAGCTCCACTTTATACAGACCCAAACTGAAGGATCTAAATGTGAAAAATAAGGATTTAAATGCTTGCTATGTCTCCTTTAATACCAAAACAACAACGTTAACACTGTAAAAATGACTTCTGAGGAAATAAAATGTTTATTTGAGCCTGATTAAATTTAGGAAGAATTGTCGGTTGGAGGGAACTTCTATAATAAAACCCAGCTGACCTCGCCTGCAGTTATGTATCAACGGAAAGCAATAAAATAAAAGTTTTTTTGTGCAGAAGTCGCAATACTGTTATTTGTACTACTAAAAACAATGCTATGTACATTTAAACCAGGAAACATTTGTTTTAGTTTGTTTTAAACAATAAAAATGGAACGCTGACTCACAGTTAGCTGGACTTCCTGAGTACTTCCTGCTTATGAGTTCTCAAACCTATATCACTTYATAAACACAAACTATTTCATCAGGAAGCTTGGAGGATAAACAGAAGCTAAAGACATCATTCTAAGTAAAAAAAAAAATTTGGAAAACTTGACCCCTGATCTGTTGTTGCAGAGTGGGCCAGTGGTTTCTCTAAGAGTGGGTGTGTGAGAGTCAAACAGAGGGTGTTTTGTTCCTCGGTGTGTACTGTCCCAGCCAAAATAAAAAAAAGGCAACAGAGAGAGAGAGAGGGAAAAAAAGACAATGTAGGAATTTAACAGCTGGCATGGCTAGCAGAGGAAGGGGCATGGCTTCTCTGTGCCCCCTCTCTATTGAAGTTTCATTCTTACTCTATTTTCTCCTTTTTTCTCTGGAATTCTCTCAATCATTTCCTTCTTTCTTTGCCTTTACTTCTCCCAGGTGTCGCCTTTCTTTTATCTCTCCCTTTCATATCCTCCTCTCTTTTTTCCCCTCTCCTCTCACACTTGCTGCGTTCGGCAGCAGGAGACCACACAAGTGTTTGACTTTCACTCTGTGGATTCAAAGGCAAACATTTGTTGGGTGCATGACTCTGCTCCAGACATTTGCTCTGCAGGCTACTTCTAGGTTTGGTTTTGACTCATGGCCTTGAAAGACTTTACTTTTTTTCCCAGGGTTTTTTTTTTCTCATAATAAGTCCAGGTTCAAGTTTCTGTTTCTGTTTGATGCAGTGAAAACGACTCCTTCTGCACTCGAGCTTCTCTGTATGAGTCGACCCAGAGAATAATTCAGAAAGACCCCTCAAAGAAACATTAAGAAAAYACATCCGTGTAGTTCCTGGGATGTAACGTCTCCTCCAGAACAAGTTGGAGCTTGTTGAGCAAAGGCCCTGCTGGTGAAGTGGATGATGCTGGATAAAAGAACACGTCAGTCACATGTGCACTAACATGTCGACATGTGTTCACAGCAGCCTCCACTCCACTGGTCTCAGGCTTTGCAGCAGATGTTGCTCCAGATGATAAATTAAAGGGCCAATATTATGTGTTTCTCAGGCATATATTTAAATACTTTACCATAATAAAGTATCTATGTCACCTTTAGTTGTTATTAAAATGCTGTTTTATGTTTAAATAGAAAATAAACTTATCTTCTCATCACTTCCTCTTCTAAACTCCTTGAAATTGGCCTCTGTCTCTTTAAGAACCTCCTTCTGCTTCTGTCCCATCCCGTTTGGTGGATGGGGTGGGGG